GGGTCCTGTCGGTTTGGGGAGGGGTCCTGACGCCCCCGCCCGCCCAGCGCTGGAGGCCGCGCGGATCTGCGCCAATAAATACATGGTGAAGAGCTGCGGCAAGGACGGCTTCCACATCCGCGTGCGCCTGCACCCCTTCCACGTCATCCGCATCAACAAAATGCTCTCGTGCGCCGGCGCCGACAGGTCCGGGGGTCCCCGAAATCCTGGGGGGGTCCCCGAAATCCTGGGGGGGTCCCCGAAATCCTGGGGGGGTCGTTGGAGTTTTGGGGGGGGTTCCCAAAATTGAAAGGGAAAAGTTTCTGGGCTGGGTCATGGAAAGGTCGCCCTGAATTGGGGGTGTCCCAAAATTTGGAGGAGTTCCCAAAATCCTGAGGGGGGGGGTCCCTGAAACTTCAAGATGTCCAGATTAATTAATTTTTGGATACTCCCATTAATTTCAGGCTGTCTCCATTAATGTTGGGGGTGCTTCCATTAATTAATTAATTTGGGGATGTCCCCACCATTTTAGGGAGCTCCCTCATTAGTTTTGGTGGTGTCCCCATTAATTTCAGGGCTATTAATTATAGTAATAAATTATTTCAGGGTTTTATTGATTTTGGGGTGCCCCCATCAGTTTACTGGTGTCCCCCCCATTTTAGGGGTGCCCCATTAATTAGCTGGGAGTTAATTATCCCGCAGTTAATTAAGCCGGCCGTGGCCCCTCCCCCGTGGGGTCCCGGCGTGCACTGGCTGCGCACAGAGACCCCTTCCCCCCGGCTGTGTAGGGACCCCTCCCCAACCTGGGGGGGCACCCAAAGGGGCCGGGGGGACAAAATTGTCCTGGGGGCTCCAAAAATGACCTGGGGGGTTAAAAAATTGTCCTGGGGGGCAAAAAATCATCCTGGAGGGTGCAAAAAATCGCCTTGGGGCACAGAAGTTGTTCTGGGGGGCTTCAAAATTAATCCAAATCCAAAATTAATCTAAAATCCCAAAAAATAATCAATTTTTTTGGGGAGGGTCCAAAAAATTTTCCTGGGGGCACAAAAATCGTCTTTAGGATGGGTCTAGGAGCTTAAAATCCCCCTGGGGACACAAAATTCTGCTTTGGGGATATGAGACCCCCCCCTTCCCCCCGCCTTGAAATAGGGCTGGGGTCTCCAGGGGCGTTCCCCTCACAGACCCCTCCCCAATTTCTCATTCCCAGATTCCAGACTGGGATTTTGGGGGGATTTTTGGGGTTCCCGCTCCCCACTTTTCATGGACGTCGGTTACAAAACTCCTTCTGTAAATGGGTCTGGGGTCTCCAGGCAGGTTTGGGGTTGGGTCTGGGGTCTCCGCCGTGCTGACCCCTCCCCAATTCCGCGTTCCCAGGCTCCAGACCGGGATGAGAGGCGCCTTTGGGAAGCCGCAGGGCACGGTGGCCCGGGTTCACATCGGCCAGGTCATCATGTCCATCCGCACCAAGGCCCAGAACAAGGAGCACGTGGTGGAGGCGCTCAGGAGAGCCAAGTTCAAATTCCCCGGGCGCCAAAAGGTACCTGGGACACCCCGAAAAATCGGGGGATTGGGAAGTTGTGGGGTGCCCCAAAATTTGTGGGGTTGGGGGGGTAAAAAGTGAAGGGAGGAGGTTCTGGGAGGGCTCACGTTGAGGTTTTTGGGGTGCCAGAAGGTTCTGGGATCTGGAAACCCCCAGATTTTTTATTTTGAGGGGGTTTTGGGGTCCCCCCAAATCCACATCTCTTTAACAAATTGGGGTTTGCCAAAACGGGGGGACCCAAAGAGATCAAACTTCAAACAAGGACCAAAAAAACCTTGAAATAATTGGGATGGGAGACCTGGAAGCCCTGGAATTTTTTCTCTTGGGGGTTTTTGGGCTCCCCCTGAGCGATTTTTGGGGTTCCCCCAGATCCACATCTCCAAGAAATGGGGGTTCACCAAGTTCAACGCCGACGCCTTCGAGGAGATGGTGGCCCAGAAGCGCCTGATCCCCGACGGCTGCGGGGTCAAGTACGTCCCGTCCCGGGGACCCCTGGATCGCTGGAGGGCCCTGCACGCCTGAACCCCCCAAAAATCCCCCCAAAAAACCCTCCGGGACCTCCCAAAAGCCGCGAGGATTTGGAGGGGCCCGGGTGGGTTTGGGGGGTGTCGGTGGAATAAAGAGATTTTTGTTCCCTCGCTGGTGGCACCGTTTGGGATTTTGGGGTGGTCATGGGGTCCCCAAAGTTGCAGGGATGAAAAGGGGGGAGGGTCCCCAAATTTTGGGGTATTTTTAGAAGTCCCAGGAGGGGTTGGAAGAATCGGGGGGTCCCCAAATTTTGCCGGTCTGGTTTTTGGGGTGGAGGGGGGCTCAGGAAGGTGGGGGACGTTTGGAACTTCCCAAATTTTGTCCCTCTGGTTTTTTTTTTTTTTTTTTTCGGGAGGGGTGGTGGTGTTTCCAAGCTTTGCCACCCCTCTCAATCTGTTTTTGGGGGGTCCCCAGTATTTTCCACACTTCTCCCCAAAACACGAGGCAGCACAAAAAGGGGTGAAATGAGTAAAAACGAGGTTTTCTTGTTTTTCCTTCATTCCCAAATTCGGCCCCTCCCCCCCCGACAGACACAGACAGAGGTGGGGGAGGGGAGAACACGCTGGGGGGGGGGGGGGGGGGCACCCCAGGATTTTTGGGGTGGGGGTCGGGTGGGGTCAGTCCAGGACTGTTCTGTTGCCCTGGGGTGAAGGGAGGAGGTGACAAAAATGTAAAAAAACCCTGAAAAAACCCTAAATAACCCCAAACTAAGCACGGCCACAGACACGACGATGGGGCGGGAGGGGAGGGGACAAGGGGGGGGTGACGCCCCCTCCTCACCTTGTGCTTGAGGCGGGGGGAGGGGGGGACAAAGGGGACACAGAGACACCCCCGGGAGGGGACAGCGCTGGGGAGGAGGAGGAGGAGGAATTTTGGGGGGTGTGGGGGGGGAGGTCACGTTGTCCCCGATGTCCCCGCGGGTGTCACACGGTGGTGACCGAGAGCAGCGGGTGCTCCAGGCGCCCCCCGTGCTGCGCCAGCATCATCTCCTGGATCGTCACCCAATTATCCAGGATGCGGCGGCTCCTCTTGCGCAGCCCCCGCCGCGACCCCTGCCCGTGCTGCGGGGGCTGCGGGGGCTCCGCGCTGCTCGAGGCCGCTCCGGGCCCGGCCTGGGGCTCTGCCCGGCCCTGCAGCAACAATTCCCGGCGTCTGCGCTGCTCCCGAGCCCTCGCCAGGTGCTGCTTGCGCTGCTCGCGGCTCCAATAGCGCCCCGTTTTCAACTCGCTCCTCGCGTCATCATCGGTGGAACCGCCGCGTTCTTCCAGGATTTTAATCGCCCGCGCTTTAAGCAGCCGGTCCCGACCGGGTCGTTTGCCACGAGAAGCTTTGGAGGCGGCCGGGGGTGCCGGCGGCGCGGGGGGAGCGGGTCCGAGCGCGGCTCGGAGCAGCAGCGGGGAGCTGCGGGAGCTCTCGCCGCTGTTGTAGGCGCTGGTGCTGTCGCGCTCCGGAGCTTCGGCGATATCGGCCAAAGGACCCTCGACCCCCGGGCGGGGGTCGCGCCAGGCCCGGCGGCCTCGCTCGCGGAGCCTCTCGAGCTGCTGGGCCCTCAGCAGGTGCCGACATTTGAATTCCAGGTGCCGCAGCTCCTCCTCCAGCCGCGCCAGCTCCGCTCTGCCCGCGGCTCCCGCTCCGCGCAGCGCTCGGTAGCGCCGCAGCTCCGCTGGGCTCAGGGCGGGCAGCGGCGGCGAGGGCGAGCCCGGGAACCCCGCTCCTAATCCCGCTCCTAATCCCGGCCCTAAACCCGCTCCTAACCCCGCTTCCAGCCCCGCTCCGCGCCGTCCGCTCGCTCCGCTTCCGGCTCTTCCCGCCGACCCGCAGCTGGAGCCGGAGCCGGTCCGCGCGGCCGCGCCTCCAGCGCCGGGTTTTGCGTGCAGCCGGGGCTGGTTTTGGGGTGAATTTTGGGGATTTTGGGGGTCCCGGCGGGGCGGGGGGGGCCGTGGCGGTGCGGGGGGTCCCTCGCCAGCCTCCTCGCCCAGCAGATCGTGCTCCGAGCTCTCCTCGTTGCGCGTGGACTCGTCCGTGCGCCCCACGCCGCTGTCGGGCTCGGCCCCGCGGCCCCCTCCGGGCGTGGCCGGGCTGGGCGGCTGCGAATTTGGGGAGGGGGCGTCAGGGGAGGGACCCCAAAACAATCCCAGGCCCTCCTTCTAACCCTTATCCCTCCAGGACCCCTCTCCCGATTCCCTCCCAGCATCTTCTCCTCGCCCTTGGAATCCCCCAGACCCATTTTAACTCCCCCAACTCAATTTTTCCCCATTTTCCCGCTTCTCAATTACCACCGCTCCCCCATTTTTTAACCCTCCCTCCCCATTTCCCCCCCTCCAGACCCTCCCCACTCATTTGGAATCCCCCAGACTCATTTTAACCCCTACATTCCAATTTTCCCCCCTCCCATTTTTCTCCCACCCAATTTCCATTTTTCCCCTATTTTTGACCCCGTCCCCATTTTGCCCTCATTTGTCCCTCCCCAATTCCCATTTTTTCCCCATTTTTCACCTGCCCGGGGGGGGTCCAGGCCCCCCTGAGCTCCCCCTCCTCATCAGATCCGAACTCATCCAGGAAATCCTCGCGGTCGCTGTCCTTCCATCGCTGGGGGAGGGGCGTCAGGGACCACCCAAAATCCTCCGGGACCCCCCCCCCGGGACCCCTCCCCAATTTCAGATCCCCTCCAAACTCCCCTCTCCCCCCAGATCAATGAATTTTGGCTCCTTTTCCTTCATCCTGGTGCCCCCAGACTCCCAAAAATTCCCCTCAGATCCCCTCTGGACCCCCCCAAAAAGACTCGAGACCCCCCCCCAAATTTTGGGAGACGCCCCAGGACCCCCTCCCCAATTTCCCAACCCTCCCAAACTCCTCTCCCTTCCCAAATTCCCCACCTCAATCATCTCTGCCTCCTTTTTTTTCACCTTTGCTGCCCCCAAACTCCCAAAAATTCCCCCCAAACCTCCCCAAATCCCCTCTGGACCCCCCAAAAAGACTCGGGACCCTCCCCCAAATTGTGCGGACCCCCCCAGGGCGCCCACCTGGCTCTCGGGCCGTGCCAGCAGCAGGGAGATGTTGGTTTGCTGCTCACGGGTCAGGAAGGCCACGGCCTCTTCCCGGTCCTGGATCTCCACCCCGTTGATCTGGGAATTTGGGGAGGGGTCAAAGTGGGGGGGGAGACCCTGTGAACCCCCCCCCCCCAAAAATAAAGGTAATGGGGAAGGTGTGGGGAAAAAGGGTTTGGGGGCGGACGGAGGATTTTTTGGGGGTTTAGGGGTTTTTTGCGGGGTTTTTAGGGTTTTTCTTAAGGGAGGTTTTTTTGGGGTGGTGGGGGGGATTTGGGAGATCCTGGAGGGGTTTTAGGGTGTCCTGAGGGGGATTTTTTGGGTGGGGTGGCCCTTTGGCGAGGTTTTGGGGGTCCTGGAGGAGTTTTGGGGGTTTTCTGAGGTGTCCTGGGGGGTCTTTCTGGGGTTGAGGGGTCCCCAAAACCTCCTCCAACTCCCCCCATTACCCCCCCACGCAAAAATCCCCAAATTTTCCCCCCAACCCCAAAAAGACCCCCCCAAAAAGCACCCGAAGACCCTTTTGAACCCCCCCAAAACACTCTGGGGACCCCCCAAATCCAACCCACCCCCCCCAGATCCAGAGCCCCGTTCCAGGACCCCCCGAATTCTCCCCAAAATCCCACCTGGACGATCCGGTCGCCCTCCCGGATCCGCCCGTCCTTGGCTGCGATGCTGTTGGGGTTCACCTGACAGGGGGAGGGGCAATAAAAGCCCAAATTTTGGGGGGGTCCCCGTAATTCTGGGAGGGGTCTCTTACCTTTAACCCCCCCCACAGGACCCTCCCAGTAAATTCCCAAATCTCCTTTTACAGGGATTTTTTTTTTTATTTAATATTTGGGGATTTTTTTTTCCAATTTTTGGGGGGATTTAAAAAAAATTTTTTTTTTTTTTTAAACTTTTAGGGATTGTTATTTTTTGGGGTTTTTTATAATTTTATGGGGATTTAAAAAAAAAATTTGGGTTTTTTTTTTGGGATTACTTTAAAATGTTTTGGGATTTTTTAAAAATTTTTTTTGGATTTTTTTGGTGATGTTATGGGGATTTTTGGGGGAGTTTTTACCCCCCCTTTCCCCCACCACCCAAGACACCCCAAAAGTGAGATCCCCAAATATTCGGGGGGGGTCTCTGCCCCTTTTCTTCCCACCCCGAACCATTTTTGTGCCTCTCAGTAAGCCCTGAACCCCCTTTTTTTGGGATATTTGTTGGTTTGCTTTTTTTTTTTAGGATTTTGGGGGATTTTTCGGGGATTTTTTTTCGGATTTCTT